CAGTAACATCTCCATTTGTCCCTGTCGCGTGCTAGTGTAGCCCAATGGCATCTGTTCGCTCTGGGAACATGAAGGGCCTCAAACCGATCGTTCATGATCTTGACGAAGAAGTCTGACCATCTGGTAGGTGGGCGGCCACGCGGTCTCTTGACATCCCGTGGAATCCAATCAGTAACAGCTCTAGTCCAACGGTCATCTTTAAATCTCATTACGTGACCAGCCCATCTGATTTTCGACACCTTGGCAAATGAGACAGCGTCCCTGATCCTTGATCGTCAACGGATGTCAGAACTCCAGATTCGTTCCCTCATTTGAGTGAAACGTGATATTCCAAGCATAGCTCTTTCTATTCTTCTTTAGGAGACCTGAATAGCGTTCTCATCTTGTTTGCATAGGGCCCAGGTCTCTAAGGCATATGTTAATGCAGGAAGAACAGTGGAATCAAAGAGATGTGCCCGGAGCCGGAGATTCTTCGTCCTCTTAGCTATTTCTTCGATGTTCTTGAAGGCGCTCCAAGCCGCTCTCTTCCTCCTGCGCAGCTCGGGTGCCAGGTCATTTGTCATGTTCACCTCTCGACCTAGGTACACATAGCTGTTGCATTCGGAGATGGTCGTTCCATTGAGAGCGAATGGGGCGTCAGGAACAAGGCTGTTTCTCATAAACATTGTCTTCGTAAGATTCAGCTGTAGTCCTACCTTTCCACACTCACGGTCAAAGTCGGCCAGCATTTGTGCCGCTTGGCTGATGTTTGGTGTTATTAAAACAATGTCATCAGCAAAGCGGAGGTGGTGTAGTTGCCAACCATCTATCTTCACTCCCATTCCTTCCCATTCCAGTTGTTGCATGATGTTCTCGAGGGTGGCACTGAAGAGTTTCGGTGAAATGGTATCACCCTGCCGCACCCCTCTCTTGACATCAACGATCACTTCTTTGTAGAATGGTGAGATCCTGGTAGTGAATCCGCAATACAGCTCACGGAGGATCCTGATGTATTGGGCTTGAATGCCCTGATTGGCTAGGGCTTCAATGACCGCTTCTGTCTCAACAGAATCAAAGGCCTTCTTTAAATCAATGAACTTTAAGCAGAGTGGCATCTTGAACTCCCGAGAAACCTCAATGAGCTTGGTTATCGTGTGGATATGGTCGATGGTGCTGAATCCTTTGCGGAACCCTGCTTGCTCGCATGGTTGTCCTTCATCTAGTGTTCTGCCAATCCTATTCAGGATGACTCAAATGAACAACTTGTAGATGACAGACAATAGGCAGATCGGGCGATAGTTGCCAATGTTATGGATGTCTCCCTTCTTAAACAGTAGTACGGTCCTGCTGGTTTTCCATTGGGACGGAACCTTGCATTCAGACAGGTAGCGAGTGAAGAGCCGAGCCAGTGTATTGATGAGTACTGACGGCAGGTTCTTCAGGTGTTCAGGTCTGACCTTGTCTGGGCCGGGTGCTGTTTGTTTCTTTACCGACGAAATGGCGTGTCGGATTTCGGAAGGGAGAACGTTGGGAACGACATACCCATCCTGTGGAATTTGGTATGTCGGCAAGTGGACATGGCTATCGAAGAGATTTGAGTAGAAGTCATGGATAATCTTCTCCATTGTCATTCTGGAGGTTGTGATGGATCCATCAGGACGTCGGAGGGCAGTCATCTTGGTCTTATAGTTGGCGAAGGACAGGCGGGCATAATATATTATACATTATGTTATAATTATATAATATATAATTATTATTGCATATTATATATAGGATGGGCGGAGGAATAGCACAGCGGTAGGGCATTTGCCTTGCGTGCAGCCAGCCTAGCCGAGCCAGGTTCGATTCCTCCGCCCCTCTCAGAGAGCCTGGCAAGCTACGGAGAGTATTCAATATGCCAAACACAGTAACAAGAAGTCTCACAATGGAGACATTACTGGGCCCGCTTGAGCAAATTGATGAACAACAGGAGGACAGTGAAAGAGATATAGGATATATAATTCGTGATATCACATTGTGAAAGACTGAAGTTTCTATCTTGTTTTCTTTTCTCTTGCATAAGTAAAAACACACTTGTGCACACATAACACGCACACTCACTCAGGGAGAAATCAGCTGGCATCATGTCACATAGAACCACTGGAGACTCAAAGAAGAAACCCACGTGGCAAGAAACTGGGATCCCTACTCAATAACAGGAGTGCAACTAAAGTCTCTTGCCATCTTTGCGTGATCATGCAGGCATACCTGCTCATGCTTAGAGAAAGCTAAACCCTAGCCTTCAGTCTGACATCAACCTTATGAGAAACTCTGAGGCAGAAACTTTCCACTCATCTGCTTTCAGATCCCTGACTTTCAGAAACTATGAAATAATTCTGTCTGAAGTATTAAAAACCTTCTTTATGATCTTAACTGTTTCCATATCTTAAGGAATATTGTTTAATTATATTTAGAGCTCTACACTCTCTCAACCCCAAGGTAATCGCCACACATCCTTCCCTGCTTATTCTTACCCAGAAATATTCCCCACACTTCAGGATGAGAGAATAGAAAATGAGACATATAGTATCCTTTTCTTTTTGTTTGATCTTAATGGCATGAAAATTATTTCTCGATGACCAGTGGATTCAGGCTAAAGTGCAGAATTAGCCATAGGAAAAGGAAATCGAGTTCATCTTCTGCCCTAGTTTTTCCTTCTATGTTTCACTGCCTACCTTCACAGAAAACAGCATCAAAAGAAGATAAATAATGATGTTTTTATCTGTTCTGCCTTAGGACTAGCCTGTACAAAAGCATACGGAAGGTGAGATCTCTGGTCTTAGTTTCAGCAGGTTTCAGTGTCCAGAGCATCAGATCTAGTGCGAAAGTCTAGATAAGTACAGGGGTGAAAAACAGCAGGTGTCTCCCAAAAACAGAATCCTGGCTCCAAAAAGCACACAATTTACTCTCAGGAACTGGGCCAGGAACCTGAGCAGCAACACTTCAGTGTAACAACCAAATGGGCTATGTAAGTTGGAACTCGGGCCAGGAAGTTAGCAAGCCCAGTGAGGTCCAAGCACAGCTGCCTACAGGTACTAGGGATTTGGGCAACTGTCGTATCTTACGAAGCAGCTAAACATTGCACTCACCTATTGCATACTTGGCTTGGTAAACTCTGATTTGGGGAATTAGATGGGCTGTACTGAGTCTGGAAGATGAAGCTCCGTGGGCACAGCACTTCCAGAGCAGAAGCTGAACCCTGCTTAGCATTTCTTAGCTGGAGGTCAGCTCTAGTTGGAAATAGCACTCACCTCGTTCACCACAAGTTTCTCTCATCAAAGAGTTACCAGAGTTATATAAATGATGCTTTCTGTGGGTTTTACCACCATCGAAACCTGGATACTTTCCTGTTTTCCTTCTTTCTCTCCTATTTTCTCTTTATAGTGATTTTTCCTTTCTCTTTCACTCCTCTCTCCTCACTTCTTCTATTGCTCCCATTCCCTAATATCTCCTGCTCCTCAACTTCGTTCCTCTTCTCTACAATCCAGCAATTCCTCACTCACCTCTCATCTCTTCTCCTGTCACATATCTTCTGTTCCAACAATCTCTCCACCTTACCTGCCACTAAACTGTTTAAACTAATGAAGCTCTGGAAGCAGGATGTAGCTGTGTTTGGCGGGCTTGACTACCACTTCCACATTCTTCTTATGATCTTCAAACTCATCTCCCAGCAAACAACTTCCCTTCATCTATGTGGCTTCTGGAATAAGCTCTACTTCTACCCCAACCTTACCTCTTTGATCATCCTCAAAACATATCCAGAATTCTGTCTAAGGAGACATTTCATAAGATACAGGGGTAATATATCTTATTCAAATTATGTAAAATTTAGTGTGAGACAAGAATACAAATAAGATTCCAATACAACAAACCTTCTAATTCAACTACTGGTTGTGCAGTGCTATTAAACTGGGTAACAGTGGACTCATCATGCATACTTTCTCGGCCTTTATTTCTTAATATGCACAACGGGTTTTATGATGTAACCAAGGTTCCTGAGAGGCTCTACTGCTTTAGGTTACCTTTGTGAAGTAGGAAGAGAAAGTAGCTTCAAGAGAAGAGTCTACTGCTTTCCTCTTTCACACCTTAGTCACCTGGGAAGTTCCTGGTAGGGTATTACTGAAGGGCAGAACTTGGAACTAGATCTCCTTTTGATTTTAACATATATTTGTTCTGCATTAGATCCTCTTGTCTCAGGGGATCCAGCCCTTGCTCTAGAATTCTGCATCTCAAAGGCTTCCTAGGCTTCTCAGTAGTCTCATATTTCAAATGCCTTCATTACTTTAGGATGGTTTGGGTTCCAGTGTGTCTTTCATAATCCCATTACCAGGGCTCCCTATCTCTCTTCCTTTCTCTGACAGCAACAATATCATTGTGCTTGGATAATTGCAAACTCTCCAAAACAACCATTTTTTTCTTTATCTATTCTTTTTGGGTCACACCTGTTCATACCCAGATTTTACTCCTGGTTTAGTACTCAGGTGTCACTCCTGCTGGCACACATATGGCCATGTGCAGAATTTACTCCTGGTTCAGTGCTCAGGAGTCACTCTTGCTGGAGAATATCTGGCCATGCTCAGGGTTTCTTCCTGGTTCAGTGCTTAGGCATCACTCCTTCTAGGGTTTGGGAAACTATATGGGGTGCTGGAAATTGAAACTGTATTAGCAATATGCAATGCAAGCACCCTACTTGCTGGACTATTTTCATTTCTTCATCCTTCTCTGTACTCTTCCTTCACACTCTCTGTACTCAAAAAGAAAATGACATGGAAGTCAGGTGATCTAAATTTTAATATCTATCTAGCCCTAAAGGCCAAAGTTCAATATTAAACAGGGGCAACAATGTCCCAGATATTAAAGGGCAGTTTGTTCTTAGTTTTAAGTTTCCTTCCAATGCTAAAGGTAAGGAAACTCTTTTTAATTTTGTTTTTCCCCCAAAGTGTAACTCTTACTTTAGTTAGATCTGCAGATAAGAGTATGCCATGCTCACTTTGGCAACACAAATACTAAAATCGGAATGAAACAGAGAAGATTAGCGTGGTCCCCGCACAAGGGTGACGTGCAAGACTGTGATGTAATCAATGTTTTTTTTCATGTTAGGTGAAGTTAGAAGGGCAGATATAGAATGATCTCTTTCATATAAGAGATATAAAGAAACAAAGAGGAGGAATGATAAATGCCCAAAGGCAACAGAGACTGAAAACTGGTTTTCAGCAGAAAGTTTAATGGGGAGCAGGGGCACTGTGTGTGTGTGTGCGTGTGTGTGTGTGTGTGTGTGTGTAGGGACACTGGGACAATGGTAAAATGGTGGAGTGTAGGGGAAACTGGTAGAGAGTGTGGTACTGGTATTTTTACATACGAATCCTCACCGTTAACAGTTCTGTAAACCTAAAATAAAATTTGGAAGAAAAAAAAAACTAGAGTGCTAGAGTGTGCAACAGGGGTCCAGGCACGGTTGTGAGGTGAGGGATGTCATTATTCATTTGAGAGTTCTCTCATCTGCAACTCACTCGTTTTCCCTTGCTCTTTTACCATACAAACCTTTTATTGTAATGTTTTCAGACAAGATGTTTGCACTGAGGGTGAGTCTCCCACTTTCCAACTTGTAGGTTTATTGCAAATAAAGCTCTTTCTTGGCACCAGTCTCTTGTTTTTTTGATACTCAAAATACAGTAGACCCAGCTTCATGTTTACGACTATGAACAAGTAATGATTGATACCAACTTGGTGACCAAGAATTTGATTCTCACATTATCTACCTAGAGATATCATCAGACTTCACAGGTTAAGGGTTAAATCAATATCTGGCTGCCCTCCCCATTTCATGAACCCTACTTTACATGCCACTCACTAGCCCAGCTTTTCACTTGTGTTAAAGTTTTGTAGTTTCAGAGACACCCTCTTTCAACATCAGGTACCAGTTGCAAGTTCCGTTTCGTTACTAAACTTTTGACCAACATGGAAGCTATAAAATTCCATGAGCCTCTTTCTTCTGTCTCAATTAGTCTGCTAACCTAGCTCACAGAGCTCAGAAAAATATTCTGCTTTACTCATAGAACTCAGATAACTTAGGAGCAACCAAATAGAAGACATACACTTGTCAAACTATGGGGGGAAAGCACATTTCGATATCTTCTCGGTCTCCTTGAATTTCTACATTCTATGTTCATCAAGATAGTTTACTGAAGCCCACGCTTTTGGACTTTTGATAAAGGCTTCATTACACAGGCAAAACTGAAGATTTTGTTGACCATTGCTCATTGACTCAATCACCAATCTTTTTCCTTCCTAGAAGTCAGAGTAGGGACTAAAATCCCAATCTTCTAATTCTCCTGACAACCAGCCCACTTTCTTAGGTGGGGCCCAAGCGTTGTCTGATACATTCTCATTCCCCAATCCAAATAAAAACTTTTATCATTCTCTTTGCTTTAAGTATTAAATTCACTTTTAGGAACTCTGAGTAGGAACCAGAGACTAAAGAGATATTTCTGACAATTAATCACCATATCAGAATCACCCTCAGGGCAGCATGTCTGCAGCTAGGACAACCCTCAAGGGATTTACAGCAGTAAGTTTTTTCTGTGCCTATTTATTCCCCAGCTCACAAAAAGAGCCTCCCACTCAAGTTTAGACTAGCTTTGCAAAATCTAACATTAAGTGGTTCAGAACTATCATTTACTGTGTTTTGACTTCCTAGCAATTGGGAATTTGCCAAAGGAAGCTTAGTTGAATTCCTCACTCTCAAATTAGGGGAAATTTCAGGTAAAAGCATTCATGAAATGTCATTTATGACCAAAACAGTATACTCAGTAACACAGGCTCCACTAAGAAAAAAGTTTAAATGTAGCCATAATTAAACTGAGCTCAGTAGCCCAGTGATACCTTATCTGGGCCTGAAAAGATGTCAGCTGTTACCTTCTCTGAGAAAAAAGAGACTAAGGAATTCAACAATTATGAGCCCTGATTCTTGCTGTCTGAAATTGTTTCCTACAGTAGAGAATAGTATGCAGAACTCTAAATTTTTAGGGGATAGGTGGGTATATACAATTAGAGAAAGGAATTAGGCTGGTATCCTCATTGGCAGAGTCAGTCCTTAAAACAAGGACTCTGGTGCAGGGTGTTTGTTTTTCTGGCCAGCTCACCTGACTAGATCTAACTAGAGTGTTTAGCAGTGCAAAAGTAATACTCCCCAGAGCCCCTTCTCCTCAGAGAGTACACTTCTCTTTGCTCCAAAAGGCTTCCAGAGACCTTCTAATATTGACAGTCACTTGCAAAAGCATTGTACCATTTTTCAGACACAGGATTCTCACTATTCCATAGGGAAATAGGACCAAGACATTTATAGGCTACTTCTGCAAAGGGCAGTGAATCAAAAAAGGAAAACTCCCCAATTCCCTAACAGAGTAATAAAAGGCAGGTAAGTTGGCAACTGGCCTTTTAAATGTCTTACAGAACTCACTTGCTTTAGAAGCACAGAGAGAAAAAATGTCTGATTATTTTTTTCCTTCCCTTTGTCCTTTCATTTCAGAAACTGACTTGTTTCTTTGGATTTTTTTCTTCCTTATTTCTTGCAAGGGATAGAATCATTAACAACCCTGCAGCTCTCTCAGGACAACATTAATTAATCTGATTTGGGATATTTCCCATTGGTTAGAAATGGTGAGCAGTGAGCCAGCTTCAAGCTCCTGAAACGGAGGCCCATGTCATTCACTTCTCATGCAAAGCCCCAAGGCTGCCCTGTGCAATTGGAGACTTAAATTTGCCTTGTTCTTTTACCCAGGCAATTAATAATGTATTTGGGGGGTGGGGGAGCTTGTTTGCTCAGCTTCAGAGACAGCCAACATTCCTTAATTGAGTCCAACCTGCTGGGCTAAAGTACTTTTCTATGGAATCTGCTGAGTGGGAGCTGAGGGGGCCTTGCCAAGCTCTGCTCTCTCCCATAAGGAAATTCTGACTGATTGCATAATAGGACCAACCCTCCCCCAGCCCCACTAGCATGTGCACAACACCTTGCAGTTTATAAAACTTTTTCAGGCAGCTTACTTGTTCAGTGTTATAGCTCAGCATTTCCCATTTGCATGTTTCAAAAATGAACACTGGATATGTCTAACAACTTGCCCTCATAATGGATCTAGTTCATAAAAGTTAAGCCAACTGAATATGTAACAAGAAATCCTCCCTTAGGTAAGGTTACGTTTTCTCTGGTTCTATTTGTCCTCTTTAAAATTTATCAAACTAGTGATAGTTCTCTCAACAAAATACCCACACACCACAAAAGGATTCCTCTCCAGACACAAGATATGTGCATAGATATGTAGATATTTTAAATATGCCATGATTCCTATTCAAAGCCTACTGGCCACTATGATCAAATAGGAGAACATGTATATATCTTGCCAATTCCCCCTACCCCCATCCACAATCTACATCATTTTTGGGGGTGCCACAACCTGCAATGTTCCGGGTGTTCTCCTGATTCTGTACTCAGGGGTCACTTCTAGCAGAGCTCAGGGAACCATGTGGGGTGCAGAGGATTAAAGCCAGGTCAGTTGCAGACAAGGCAAGTGTCCTACCTGCTTTAATATCTCTCCTGACCCTACATCAATTTTTTAATTAAACCACACACTGACTTGTAAAACACACAAAGAAAGTTTCCATAGCATGTGATTAAGGGAGGGACATCCATATGGTTATATCAATACAGGGTTATATTAGATACAAGAAAAATCTCAGCTAAAGAGTTTAATCTTACACCCTCCACAACTAAAAGAAAAAATAAATAAAAGGTAAAGTCAGTAGAGAGGAAGAGATAATTAAGATTAGAGTAGAAATTTAAAATATAGAATTTTAAATGATGGTTGATAGATAACTCAATAAGTTGAATACATGGATTGCATTCAATCAACAGGAGGCCAGATTATATGTGTGTGTTTGGCTCAAGTAGGGGAAAGGGTGAGGGGGAGGAGAAAGAAGGAAGAGAAAATCACATTACTATGCCTACACCCCAAGCAGAGACAGACAATATTTTTGCAGTGTGCCTGTGTTTCTGTCTGAGGGTGTATCTTTTCCTAGCCCACTCCTTTACAATCTTCCACCCCTGTTTTTAACCTTCTTGACCTGATGAAATTCCAGAATGCTGCAATGTGCAATATCTTGGTATTCTGCAGGTAAGTCATTAAATTCAAGCCCTTCATTTGCTGACACCAAGTTCCATCACTCACCAAGACAACCAAGAAATGATTTACTCCTTTCCTTACCGTTTCCATAACTTTTTTATTGCTAGCACATATCAACAATCTGTTCTTTTTTATAAACTAAATTCTGCATTTAAAAAAGTATTAATTTCATAAAGTAAATCCACTGCTACCACAATGGCAGGTATTTCAAATTACATACGTGAAATTATAGGAAAAGGAGGGTGGAATACTTCCAAATCAAAGGTTCTGAAGAATTGGAACCACTCAGAAATTCAAAGCCTAGGGATTCAGTGAGGCTTCACTGAAAAGATACACTTTAGCTGAGATTTGATAGATGTGTAAGACTATTACTCATACCCAAAAGGAAGAAAGAGGCAAAGCTCAGTAATAAACAAATCATCATAAATGTGAATTAAAGGCATCTCTAGATGATAGCAGTTTGAAGGGGAGAATGTTAAAAATAATACTGAAGGAAATGGAGTAGATACACATTAAGTGAGTAAGAAATTACTATTAAACAGATGAAAGAAATTTATTGGTCAAGAATTCCCTGATGAAATAACTTTGTTTATTCAACTGGGTTAAAACACAGAGAAATTCATCACTCAGAAAAGCATTCCAAACACAATGCTTTGAATCTGCGGAGTTGGCGTTATGATAAAAGGATGGTGGTAAAGTGACTTGACCCTAGCCGGAAACTAGCCTCTCCAATGTAAACTTAGGAGCATGATATTCTCAAACAAAAGTTGAACATTTGAGCAATAATGACTATAGAGAGATACAAAGTCAAAGTGAAATGAATTCTTTCAAAAGTGACACAATTTCCGGCTAAACTTTATCCCACTCTACATATAAATTCAAGCCAACTCTCTACCTTGTAAAATGATTCCAA